CTTTAACTCCATGATTTCTTCAACCACAGTAACAACCATGCTCGTTACACTACACAACCTCTTCTTTCCTCGGCGATTTCTGTGACGTGACAGAGTGTCAACACCTTCAAGCATTTGAAAGGAGAAAGGAATCATCAATAATGACCAAAGGGAAAAAAAAAACCTTTCGACGACTATCAATGACACACTCGGAAGACGTTCGCTTTCGGGATCGACATTCGAGTAGTGCATATAGTACGCGCAATGCTGTCCTGAATATGCTCACCCTGCTAGTCTAGTCTAGCACAGTAGACTCCAAAAAAAACGAAGCGACACCGACACCGACACCGACACCGACACAGGCAAAACAACGTCCATTGGCCTGCTTCTTCAACAAGACGACGAGAAATTGTGGCCACGGGAATGCGCCAAGGGATACCAAGGCTGGGCCAAGAACGGCCCAAGACCTCTCCAAGACAGCTCTCCTTTGTCCCGCCGCCGCGGCAGTTTGACTCAGTCTGTTTGTCGGGCAACTGTGATAAACTTGCAGTGATAATCCAGGAGCCTTGGCCTTGGCGCAGGCTTGTTATTCCAGAAGGGAAGGGATCAATGCGGACGAGTCGGGGGGAACATGTGTTCAGACATTGGAAGCCAAGACGTTGGCCAAGACCACGATGGCGAGAAGAATTCCATCGACTTGGTCAGCCTGTCTGTGTGTTGTAGGAAATATATATCTACCTACGAGCCGGACCCCGTCCTGCTGTTTACCTACTCTTACTACTACTCTACAGCTGTCTACATTTTGTTGATCTAGCAGACAAACAGACAAACTATCCACACAACTGACTCCTACAGGCAAACATGACCAAGACGGAGCCTGATGAGGCTGCTGCTGGCGACCATGTCTCTGGCCAAAGCAACAAACCCCTTTCTCGACCTGCCCACGCCTTAACCCATCAAGATCTCGCCCACGAGATTGGAGCCGACCCCCTCTCCGGTCTCACCCCCGACGAGGCCAAGCGTCGGCTTGAGGAATATGGAAAAAACGAACTGGGCGAGGCTGAAGGTGTCCAGCCCATCAAGATCATCATTGCTCAGATTGCCAATGCCATGACGTTGGTATGTTTCCCTTTCCCTTCTTCTTCTTCTTCTTTTTTGCTTTTCCTTTTCTGTGACGGCATACTGACAGCAAACAGGTCCTCATCCTGGCCATGGCCGTCTCCTTTGGTATCAAATCCTGGATCGAAGGCGGTGTCGTTGCCTTCGTCATCGGCCTCAACGTCGTCGTCGGTTTCTTCCAAGAGTACTCTGCCGAGAAAACCATGGACAGTCTACGCTCTCTTTCCTCTCCCACCGCCACCGTCGTCCGCGGCGGCGAGGCTATGGTCGTCCCCTCTGGTGAAATTGTTCCCGGTGATCTAGTTGAAGTCAAAATGGGCGATACTCTGCCGGCAGATATCAGGTAACCTGTTGACCATTCTCTCCACTACCCCCTTTTACAATGGCTGATTATTCTCTTGCGTAAACAGGTTGATCGAAGCCAAAAACTTTGAAACCGACGAAGCTCTCCTAACCGGTGAATCCCTTCCCGTTCGTAAGACGGTTGAGTCCACTTTCGACGACACCACCGGCCCTGGCGACCGTCTCAACGTCGCCTACTCCTCCTCCACCGTCACCAAGGGAAGAGCAAAGGGTATTGTTTTTGCTACCGGCACGTTTACCGAAATTGGCGCCATCGCCTCTGCTCTCAACAAGAAAGACTCCAAGGTCCGTCCCGTCAAGCGCAAGCCCAATGGCCACGCTGGTCCCCATCGTTATTTGGAGGCGTACACTTTGACTCTCGGAGACGCCATCGGTCGGTTTCTGGGTGTCAACGTCGGCACTCCGCTGCAAAGGAAGCTGTCGAAGCTGGCTATGCTGCTTTTTGGTATCGCGGTTATCTGCGCCATCATCGTCTTGGGAGCGAACAAGTTCAACACCCGTCAGGAAGTCATTATCTACGCCGTGGCCACGGGCCTGTCCATGATTCCGGCGAGTTTGGTGGTGGTTTTGACCATCACCATGGCGGCTGGCACCAAGAGAATGGTGGAACGGAACGTCATTGTGCGCAACCTCAAGTCTTTGGAAGCTCTGGGCGCGGTGACGGACATTTGCTCGGACAAGACTGGCACGCTTACTCAAGGAAAAATGGTTGCGAGAGGTGCTTGGATCCCGGGAATGGGCACTTACACCGTCGAGTTGGGTGATGAGCCGGTGAATCCTACCAAGGGCGACATCCGCTTTGCGAAGCAGATGCCGTCAGAGATTGATTTCAAGTCGACCAACGCTGAAAAGAGCTCTACCGGCCCTGTCACGGCCCCTGGAGAGCTTTTGACATCCAGCACCACCCGTCTCCAAGACTTCCTCTCAGTCTGCTCCCTTGCCAACCTTGCCACCGTCTTCTCCAAGGAATCCGAAGAAACACCCGGCACCGAACAATGGCACGCGCGTGGCGACCCGACCGAAATCGCCATCCAGGTGTTTGCTTCCCGCTTCGACTTCAACCGTCTCCGTCTTGTCTCCGGTTCCAACCCTGAATGGCAAGAAGTCGCCGAATTTCCGTTCGATTCGGACGTGAAGCGCATGTCGGTGATCATGAAGAATACGCAGACGCAAGAACACTGGGCCTTCACCAAGGGCGCTGTGGAAAGGGTTATTGGTGCTTGCGTCAACTACTTTGACTCTGATGGTCCTGGCGCGGTGGCTAAGCCCGTGACTGACGAGTTCCGCGCCGATATTTTGAAGAACATGGAATCTTTTGCCTCTCTCGGTCTGCGCGTCCTGGCCCTCGCCTCCCGCCGCCTCCCCTCTGACGGCACCACCTGGAACGAAGAAACCTCCCGCTCCCTCATCGAATCCGAGCTCACCTTCCGCGGCCTGATCGGGCTCTACGACCCTCCCCGCCCCTCGTCCGCTTCGGCCGTCCACCAATGCCACGAAGCCGGTATTTCGGTCCATATGCTCACTGGTGACCACCCGGAGACCGCCAAGGCCATCGCCATCGAAGTAGGCATCCTGCCCCCTCTCTCTTCCATGTCCCGCGTGTCTTCAGCTGTCGCCCACGCAATGGTCATGACCGCCTCGCAGTTCGATGCCTTGTCCGATGACGAAGTTGACGCTTTGCCCGTTCTCCCACTCGTCATCGCGCGCTGTGCGCCCTCTACCAAAGTCCGTATGATCGAAGCCTTGCATCGTCGCGGTCGGTTCTGCGCCATGACCGGCGACGGCGTCAACGACTCCCCTTCCCTCCGTCGCGCCGACGTCGGTATCGCCATGGGTCTTTCCGGTTCCGACGTCGCCAAAGACGCTTCGGACATTGTTTTGACAGACGACAACTTTGCCTCCATCGTCGCCGCCATTGAAGAAGGCCGTCGCATCTTTGACAACATCCAGAAATTCGTCCTGCACGTCTTGGCGGAGAACATTGCTCAGGCAGGCACCTTGCTCATCGGGCTGGCATTCAAGGACGCCTCCGGCCTTTCCGTCTTCCCTCTAGCTCCCGTGGAAATCGTCTGGATCATCATGATCACCTCCGGTCTACCAGACATGGGCCTCGGTTTCGAGCGCGCCGTGCCCGACATCATGGCGCGCCCCCCACAATCTTTAAAAACAGGAATCTTTACTCTGGAATTCATCATCGACATGATCTTTTACGGACTGTGGATCACGGCGCTGTGTCTGGCCTCGTTTGTGTTGCGGGTCTACGCCTGGGGCAACGGCGACTTGGGCAGCGGCTGCAACGAGCGGTACTCGGACTCATGCGAGACCGTCTTTCGCGCGCGCGCCACCACGTTTGCGTGCTTAACGTGGTTTGCACTCTTCCTGGCTTGGGAACTAGTCGATATGCGCCGCTCGTTCTTCCGGATGCAGCCTGGTAGCAAGAAGTATTTCACGCAATGGATGGTGGACGTGTGGCGCAACAAGTTTTTGTTTTGGGCGATTGTCGGCGGATTCATCACGCTGTTCCCTACGTTGTATATACCCGTGATTAATCATGCCGTGTTCAAACACACGGGGATCTCGTGGGAGTGGGGTATTGTGTTTATTGCTGCTGGTTTGTTCTTTGGGGGTGTTGAGGGGTGGAAGTGGGCGAAGCGGGTGTTTTTGAGAAGGAGGGCGAGGAGGGGAGCTGCCAAGAGCGGAGGGCAGGGCAAATTGTGGAAGGATATGGATGTGGAAGAAAAGATTTTCGGAGAGTATTTTGGGTCGGCTTCTACGGATGAGGTTTCGCTTCAGGATACTCATACTCGTGGGAATGAAAAGGAGAATGAGGGAGCCACGGGCCTGCGCCAGGGCGAACAGGGACGGGATTGACTAAGAAGGGGCGGGAAGCCCCGGACGGAAGTCGTTGTTGGTGAGGTTGGCATTGTCAAAGTCAAAGTCATGGTCACGACTGATGAGGTTGGCGATCTTGATGATGATAATGACCGTGTCAAGGAAGGTGGTGGTGGTGGTGGTGGTGAGTGCAAGGTGAGTCGCTCATGCGAGAGTGGCAGTGGCAGTGGCCAGACAGGACTGCAGTTGGCGTCCTTTTTGTCTACCACAACAACAGCAAAGGTGGGTGAAAGCCTTTCCTTTTTGGTTCTTGTAGCTCCCTCTTCTTCTGTGCGCCGGCAACAGCAGCTGCTACGGTTCCAGGTAGCATGCTTTGGTTGCCCAAGAAGTGATTGTCAACGAGGGGGGTCTTTTGGTTCTGGTTCTGTTGATGGTGTTGCGAAGGTTGATGGTACTAGTGTTGGGAATCGGGTGTTGAGATTGGGATCAAGAATGATGAAGAGAGAGGAGGATGATTATGTCTGTCATTACCGTAGAATTAGTAGTAGTAGTAGTAGTAGAATAGGTAGCACCGGCGTTGAGGTCGGGAATATATATAAATGGTGTAGAAAACTTGCCGTGCGGTGTCCGGAGTGGTTTGTCAGTGCCGTGCGGTTGTTGGAATGAGCTTCCACTTGTCACCCTTGGCCAGCGGAGAGTGGGGATGTAGACGAATTGCACTAACAGCTTAACCGCTACCACGCAGCTGATGTAGAGCATCGGCGTTAGTGTACCTGTACATTACCTGATCGGCTTTCACTAACAAGATCGGTGCCCATCCTCGCTTTATTTTGCTTGTTGATGTTAGTGCTCCCCCGAATTCTCCGTTACTGCCACCACCAACTCCGACCGACCGCGAACCCAAAATCGGCTTCGTGGGGTCTCGGCAGCCAATACTAAGTTACCTTTACCATAGCCATCACAAATCCGCGATACACTACACCACACTGCGCCCTTCACAGAACAAAATCCGCACGATCGGCAATCAATATTGGGAAGTTTCGACATTGGTTACACGGAGCAACCCTCGGGGCTCGACGGGGCAACCCAACTGATGCGTCCGGCCGGGCTCTAGACTGACAGCGGTTCCACCTCGCCGGCGAGTTTGGTACCTGATTGATGCATGGACCACCCGACCCGCCGCGCGCCGCGCCCTTTGGTTTACAATGGGTGGGGTTGAAAATGGAAAATGGGAAATGGACTTGGCCGGATGCGGGCATGCGGTGCGGCATGCGACGGCAAACCGATCACCATGCCCACTATGGCAACGGCAAGCTAGGTAGGTAGGTATGGCCGGAAATAAAGAACGAGGATGGGGATGGGTTGCGGTGATGGTTGCTGTCTTGGCTTTTTACGAGTTCTGGGCCTCTGTGACGAGGAGAGGAGAGGAGAGGAGAGGAGAGGGGAGGAGAGGTAGGTACATGGAGGTAGAGGTACATACCTTAGAGGGGGACGTGAGGGCAGACGACGGACGGACGGAAGAGAACTCGCAACCTCAATTTTGCTATTGATGATAGCATCTCACACACAGCTCACGACATCCCATCTTAATAGCGTTATGTTCAGTTTGGGTACATATAGTATTATCCGGTTGATGGTCGATTGATACCATTGTCAACAATCCACTCCCACAAATCCATTATGGTGACCAAAAAACTCTAAAATCGAATCGTCGAACTCGACTTCGGCATCCGCTCGGCAACCGTTCCTTGCCTTGTGTCCCAACCTCTACCTCGACACACCCAACAGCTAACACAAACAGGGAATAGCTTCCGTAGTCCCCCTCTCCAATTGACCTATCATCTTTTATGCTTTTCAGAAGCTAGCAAGCTTAAGGTTTAGCCTTTTCTTCTGGAATGACGCATCGAAATTCGGCCGAAAATTCTGGGGGGGGGAGGGTGTGGGCTCCGTCGGTTGTGGACACCCGGCCCGTTGGAGTTCGGGTCGTGTGAAGAAGGTGCGGTCTGGAGGTCTGGAGGTCTGCAGGTCTGCATGTCTGCTTTCGAAGAAGGATGTGGTGCTTCGAATAAATTCCCTTTTATCTTGTTGTTTAGGTTTCTATCGTGCTCTGTTATTCATGCTTGGTGGATTCTTTATGTTCATGATATTCCCCAACCATTGAAGGGGGCTTTTTTGCTTGTACCTGCAGATCCCGAATTCATGTGAAAAAAAAAAAAAGAAAAACTAAAACTAAAAACTGAAAACCCTTGAACCCGAACCCGAACGTGAACCGAATTAAACCGAAACGAACAAAACGGGTCCAGTCCCGCTCACCGCACGTCTATCTCGACGACTCACTTATTTAGGTCAAGTCAACGGAATACTAATCATTGGGTGACTCACTGGACATATAGCAGCCATTACTTTTTTATTTCTTTTCATTTCTTCGACGGTTATAACACATAACCAATACTCCCACCGGTCAACAACAACCGAGTCCAGTTCACGGCTCGGCAAAGAAAGCAACCAGTGACGACTGTCTACCTACTCGACAACCAGAACCCAATACAAAAACTTCATCACCATCTTCACTCGTCACATTGAGCACCACCAAAATGCCACCATCCCCGCCTCCATACATGGAAGCAATCCGAACACCAGGAAGCCATGTTCAAGACTCAAGAGGACGATCAGACAGTGAAGACAGCGATATTGATATTCACGGAAACGACCAACATCATGACGAAGACGACAGCCATGAAGAAGATGAGAAGCACGCAGTCAACAACACCAACACCAACAACAACGGAGGAGGAGGTGCTCTTTCCCTAGTCAAGACCCTTTCACGAGTATTATCAAGACCAGAATCGAATTTCGATCCGGGACCACCGCCAGATGGGGGCGCAAGGGCTTGGTGTACTGGTATGTATTCCTTATTCTCTCCTTTTTTTTTTTTTTTTTTTTTTGTGAACACGACACTTTCATCCTGAACCATACACTAACACCTCGCAACACGAACAGTCGCAGCAACCCACCTAGTGGTCATGACCACCTGGGGCACCATCAGCTCCTTTGGCGTTTTCCAGACCTACTACACCTCCACTCTCAACGCTCACTCCTCAGTCGTCACACCCTCCACCATCTCGTGGATCGGCTCTCTCCAAGTTTTTTTGCTTTTCTTCATCGGCACTTTCACCGGCCGCCTCACAGACGGCGGATACTTTCGGCACATTTACCTCTTGGGAACAGCATTCATTGCCCTCGGCATGTTTTCCACCGCCGATGCCTTGGACAGCCTCACTTCCGGCAATGGTAATGGTAATGCCAAAAGCGCAGTCTGGAAATTATTTCTCGCGCAAGGAATCGCCATGGGCTTAGGCAACGGCTGTCTCTTTTGTCCCTGCGTAGCTACGTTATCTACATATTTCAGCAAGAAACGGAGTCTGGCTATCGGGATGGGCGCCTGCGGGACTGCAACAGGCGGGTTAATCTTTCCCAGCATGATGCGCAGCTTATTACCTCGCGTTGGGTTCGCATGGACGGTTCGCGCAATGGGATTTATCTGCGTTGGATGTCTTCTTGGTGCATTCTGGGTGATCAAACCACGCACCAAGCCGCGCGGGATGAGAGGCGCGTTGGTGGAGTGGTCGGCCTTCAAAGAAGGGGAGTATTCCTTGTTTGTGGCCGGGAGCTTCATGTGTTTCCTGGGGCTGTACTTTGCGTTTTACTACCTTGCGAGTTTTTGCAGGGATATCGTCGGGCTGGCGTACGAGGATAGCTTGAATATCCTGCTGGTGTTGAACGGGGTGGGTATCTTTGGGCGGCTGGTGCCGAATTACCTGGCTGATCGGGTGGGGCCGATTAATTTGTTTATTCCGTTTGCGGCGGTGGGCGGCATTTGTATGTTGTGCTGGATGGCGGTCGAGTCGGAGGCGGGACTGTATGTGTGGGCCGTGTTTTACGGGGCGGCGGCGGGAGGGATTCAGAGTCTGTTCCCGGCGGGATTGACGAGCTTGACGACGGATTTGAGAAAGACGGGCGTGAGGATGGGGATGGTGTTTACGTGTAATAGCTTTGCGACGCTGGCGGGGCCGCCGATTGCGGGGGCCATTATCACGAGTATGGGGGGTAGGTATTATGGCGCGCAGGCGTTTGCGGGGTCGACGTTGTTGTGCGGGACGGGCTTGTTGGCGGCGGCGAGGATGGTGAAGGCGAGGAAGGCGCAGAGGGAGGGGGAGAGTGGAGGGGTTTGGAAGGTCAAGGTTTGAATCGATGCCCGTCGGCTGCATGAGGGAAACAAAAATGGGGTGTGGAAAAGTTGGATAATACTCGAGTTACGATACGCTAATGTCTATACAATGTTCTGCCGAGACTCTTACCTTGTTCATGTTGACATACTCGATATCCCATCACGACAAAGAAGGCCCTCAATGACCATTGTCCCTCACCATGCAACAAAGGGCATTGCTCAACACCCTCCATTGTCCCACATCGACCTTAAGATGAAGACACCCGGGCCCTTATGTCTCGGTGGTCGAGTCCTGTCATCCCAAACCTCTAATTACCGAAGATACAGCACCGCAATGTCCAACCCCGACTTCACCACCTACTTCAACTCCCCCCTCTTCTCCGACGCCATCCTCTCCTACCAAACCCACACAGGCGACAAGCGTCACCTCCCCGTCCACCGCCTCATCCTCTCCCTGCACTCGCCCTTTTTCGCCTCCGCTTTCACCCTCCCCTTCCGCGAGTCCTCCGATCCAGACCATCTAATTACTCTCCATGACGATGATCCCGACGCTTTAGTGTCTGCCATACGGTGGTGCTACGGACACTCGCTGTACCGGCTAGACGGCGACGATGAGCTAGAGACGCAGTTGGCGTATAAGGATCTCATAACGATGAAATTTACAGCGGAGGAGGAGCGCCAGATTGCGGGGCTGTTGTTGCATTTGATGAGGGTGTATGTGGTGGCTGATAAGTATGACTTGGGCAGGTTGAGGGAGGAGGTGGTGGTGCATTATGAGCGGTTGGCGCCTCTTGTTTTGCTGCATAAACAGGGAATGTTTGAGGAGATGGTGGAAGTGGTTTATGGGTTAGGGAAGGGGGATAAATTGAGGAGACGGTTTATGGGGGATGTGGCGGGGGAGGTGTATCCCGTTGTTGCTGGGACGGACTCTGAAAAGGAGAGGAATAAAAAGGGAGTGAAGGGGGAAAAGGAATGGGAATTGGAAGAGGTGGAAAGAGTGGTGAGGGGGTGTGTCTTCAAGGTCAGGACAGTTGGTCTGGGGAGGGAGTGGAAGAAGGAGTTTATGAGGGATATGAAGAGGGAGGTTAGGAGGGAGGTGAAGAAGAGGTGGAGGGGGGCTTGACAAGGGTGGTGAATGGAGGTCATGTACTTTCTATAATCTCTATAGGAATTCCTGGTCTTCACTGCGCGGTACTAACCTGAATAATACGTAATTCCATGTAAGATACAATCATCAGTGAGTGGACAGCCCCACCATGTTACGGTATCGTCTGTATCGCGTCCGTGCGCGTCTTCAGGTCCATTTACTTGGCCATTTGGTGATTTCACTTCACTTCGTCTCTCCTTCCTTCATCAACCATTCTCCAGCCACTCGATCCTTTCTCAGCTCAACAACATCGAGTCGTCAACTCGTTGTTCCCACTCGATACTCCAACCGTTCATCCACAGCATACTAGTCAGGCGCAATCATACACCATGGACAAGCGGTTCTTGTCCTCCGACGAAAAGTAAGCCTCTCCCCGTCAGACATCGCCGTCGCCGTCATTGACAAGCCGCCATTGCATGACGTCGCAACACCTTTTGACTTGGTACACAAACTAATTCACTTCCAGGCTCCTTGAGAGCGGTCTTTTCTCGGATGTCGTCGTCAAGTGCGGCGACAGAACATGGAACCTCCACAAGAACATCCTCTGCTCGCGCAGCATCTGGTTCGAGAAGGCTCTCACCGGCCACTTTGAAGAGGCCAAAACGGGCGTCGTAAATATTGAGAACTTCGAGCCCGCAGCCATCGACATCCTGATCCGCTATATCTACACCGGAATTTGCGACATTCCCGCTCTCTCCCCCAACACCAAGACCAACTTTGTCTCCTGCTTCGAAATCTACACCGTCGGCGACTACTTTGCCCTCGTCTCCCTCACCAGAATCGCCCTGGACACCTTGAACGCCGAATTCGACGCCAAAACCGCCCCTCTCCAACTCCATTACGACTCCGGTTCTTCTGCCTCAGACGGCAACGGTGTCTCCCCCGACTGGCTCCCCGAGCTCTTTGAAGCCATCCGCCTCGTCTACAGCGACGTGCCTCTTACCGACATCTCTCACCCCACGCCCGGCATCCGCGCCACTTTTCTTTCTTTCATCCACGCCGCGCGTTTCTACTTTTTGCAAAACGAGCACTTCAACGCCTTCCTCGACCAAGTCCCCTCATTTGCGCTCGATGTATTCCGCGCCATGCGCAACACGGGCGACTTCATCGCCCACCTCCCCGATGCACACTGTTCCCTTTGCAAGAGCAAGCCGACTAGGGCCGAGAAGGGTTACTACACCCACTTGGCGACAGAAAAGTTGAAGCTGAAGGCGAGCTGCTCGACGTGCGCGGGCAAGAGGGACCTTAGTGCGGGATGGACGGATTGGAGCGGGAAGCTTTCCAAGGCGACAACGACTACGACGGCGGCGACGACGGGAACTACGGGATCAGGATCGGGATCGGCGTTGGGTTAGGGACCTGCCGCCATGTCTGAGACTAGTTCGTTCGACGAGTGGTCGTCCAGCGAAGAAGATTCGCCCGACGACAATGCACCAGTCGTGCATGATAATGGCCCGGGTGTGGGAGTCTTGAATTATGATGAGCCGTTTGTGGAACCACAGCTGATCAACCTGTATTGGCCCTGATGATCAGCTGTGGATTTAACCGTTTCTACACCCGCCGCCGCCTCAGCGTGCCTAGAGGGTAGAGACAGTGAGTGGTCTCTGGAATTGGATTTCTGGGGGAAAGAACAACGATCTATCTCGGATAACTCGACCGAGGAGAACCCGAGGATGCGGCGCTCTTGGCAAGACGATGGCGGCATGTGATTTACGGAGCGAAGTGGCGATTCAGGATGAGATGACCTCCCCATGGTCAGGATGACGAAAACTGGATAGAGGCTTGCGGTCTCGGCGTCTCGCAATAGGAGACCAGGGGCAGGTATGGTGGCTACGAAGCACCGATGAGTGGTTGTTTGGGTACCTACCTTGGAGTTTCTTCGAGACTCACAGCGATTGGGCGAGCTTGAACTACTGATGTTGGGGTGGAAAAAGAGAATACCGTGGGCTCAGATACCTAGGGAGCATCTACAGGAAGGGCATGAAGGGCCATGTTGATGAGAAAGGAAATGATGAAAGAGGGAACTTGAAGGGGCATGTAACCGAATCATACTCCAGTCAAGCCACACATGTTGGCCACTTCGATCAATCCAGATGTAGGATACTCCTACCTACCTAGGTATCTAGTGAAAAAAGAGACAAATAATCCCAGTCCTCTAGTACCCCTAGAGCGATCACCCCTCCCTTCTACGGCCGGGCATATACCACCCGCCTGTCTTGTAAATAGGTAAGTTCTCATCTCCAACCCTCACCTCACCTCCTCTTTTCCCCCAACCTCCTTCTATCCCCCTATCCCTCTCTTACCCTTTCACTCTTTCACCCTTTCCGCCTCCACCCTCCCAATGTTCCCCCTCCAATACCCTTACAGCCCTCCCAACACCACGTCTCCCCATCATCCACCTCCTCCTCTCTACCCCCTCCCCATTTCCATCTCCATCTCCATCCCTCTTCCCCTTCCCCACCACCGCCCCCGTCGCACTCCCACCAAGCCTACTCCTACAAGTAACACTCGCCACCTGCTTGATTTTCACGCTCGAAAACGTCCACGTCCCCGGCTGCGTCGTGCTCCCCGTCATCACCAGCCCCATCTGCACAGGGGTATCAAGAAGCATCCCTACCGCTGTGTTATTCGTGTTGGAGGAAGTACATGTTACTGTCAAGGTTCCAGAGCCGGAACTGATCCATGTGGCGGCGATGATGGTGATGGTGTCTTTTGTGGGGGTTGGCGTTGCTGTTGTCGAGGTAGTTGTAGTTGTAGCTGGGGTAGCGACAGTGGTGGTGGGTTGAGGTTGAGGGTCATCAGTGGGAGTGGTAGTTGGTGAAGGTGAGGGCAATGGTGGAGGGCACTCGTTAACAACAGGAGCAGGAGCAGAAACAATCACCCCCGACTGCGGGAACGGATCAAGCGGACCCCAGACGTTACCATCTTCGTCCCTTCCCAGGCCTTTAACCAGGTGTTCCATTGCCGAAAAGTCATTAGGAATAGGAGGTAGTCCCGGAGTAGTAAGTTCCGGCTGGATCCATTCGGTGACAGGCTGGATATATTGACCGGCCAGTATCCCGTTCTTTGTCTTCACCGGGTTTGGTGTCGACGAAATGACGTACTCGCGCGCGTACACATCCCCCGCGACACTCGTTATCCCCGTTCGGAACTTATTCCTCACTTGCCCGGCGATCAAACTGCCTCCGCTGACGGGTCTGGTGGTGATATTCCCCGTGCAGATATCAAACCCCGTCACGGCATGGATCGTCAAGCTGGACGTCCCCGACGCAGCAGAAGTGTACCCTATGAATCTTGTCTGCGCCACTTCGGCATTTACATCCCCGCTGTACACCCCTATCAACACGTCCTCCATCCGTATAAAAGGCGGGAAGTTCACCGGTGTGAGTATCTGTACGTTGGTAGCCACGAGCTCATAAACCAACATTTCTCCACCTGCCACCCACACTCCCGCATACTCGACAAAATCCCCCGGAACAAAAGGGGCCATGACCATCGGGTCCGGAGCCGTGAACGTGCCTTGTTTGCTTCCGCTTCCAGGGGCAGCCATGGTTGGTCGGTTGGACATTGGACATAAGGGATCGGAAGCGTTGCGCGGTACGCACATGGGGAACCCACTAAAGGAAGAGATACTGGGGTTTTCATCGTCGGCCGTCCAAAACGGGTGGGAGGTGTATCCGACGGAGTAAACGCCGTGGGGGTCGTTGATGCGCAGCTTGGGCCCTTGGGATAATTGGATGGATCCGTCGTAGGAGATGGAAGAGATCAACCCCCGGCCGAAAGAGGTGGAGAATTGAGAAATGAAGATTTGGCCTGCCGTTGGGCCGTGGAGGGGGATCGAGTTGCCTACGACGGTGACTTCGAAGCCGCGCATGAAAGTGATGTCGGCGCAAAAGTCACGCCAGGGAACCCAAGCGGCGGGGAACCCGACTTGGGTGTTTTGCGGGACTTTGATGGTCCAGCCGGCGACGGAGATGGTGCCGCCTGAGTTGTAGATGCCCGTGTCTGTTATGGTGCATCTATTTCGTCCAGAAAGGAGTGAGACAAGGGGCGGGTTAGTATGGATGTCTGTCTCGGCAGTCGGGTCGGGTGTTTTCAGACATGGACTGTCTTGGGGACTGTCTTATGTCATGGAACAAAGAAATTGTTGGGAATTTCTTCAGAGGGAGTGTCTAACTCACCCTTCTAGACCACCATCCACATCGAATGGAATGTCTTGAGACAGACAGAAGGACGGCAGAAGAAGAAGGCCGGAGAATATGAGAGATAACTGCATCGTGTTTTGTCTTAGAGTCCAAAAGTTCGAGAGCCCCGAGGCAACAGGCTTCGGCTACGATGGGTGTGTCTAAGTCAATGGTCTCAGACACTGAAGGGGTTGGTTAGGTTGTCTTATATCACGACATCCACATGTCTTCATCAACTGCGAGACCCCAACACTGACAACAAGACGCTTGTTCCTTGCATCTTGCATCTCGCAATGTACAAAATCGACGCTGTTCAACTTGAACATAAACTCCGATATGCTGCATTTACGAGCTGGAGGCAAGCGAGCGGAACTGCTGGAGATCTGAAAGGTTAGTATGACTGGTCAGCCGACACACAAACCGAAGGGCGATGCATCTAGTCCAGATTCTAGACGTCTGAACCCTGAAGAATAAGACTCGGGTATCACGATGTTGGGGCTGGGCAAGGCCATACCCATTCTTTGGGTTGGTAACTCGGAATTCCAGGTCATCATGGGATTGAAGACAACGAAAGGGCTGTCAAGTCTCACAGAGCTGAAGCATTCGCTTAGCAACTCGCTTATCTGGTGCTGCCGTGGTGGTAAGTATGTCTCAAGCATCATTTGGAGGAGTGGCAAAGAGCGGGTTCTTCCAATCCCGTAGCTAGTACTGTTTGGTATTTCCGGCATGGGCTGAGAACATGTATGCATTATCCAGCTCGTCGGGTCGCCTACAGCCGCTGCTGGTTGTTGAGGTGTGGAGTTGAGCAACAACGAATTGGAACTGCAGAAAAAAAAGATGGCAATGGACTCAAATCGAAGTGGGTCGACGGGCTGATGCGGGGAGAAGAAAATGTTCGCATGGAGCTGAGCCAAAGCGATGATATGAAGACTGTGAGATGATCACCAAGAGACAAAGTATGGATGGACGGCTGGCCGAATACCAGTGAGCTGCCAATAACACACACACATCAACCCTATCCAGACAGCAATCAAGGACGAATTAAGCTTAACATGATTTTCAGGATCGCCATCGTCACACCAATACGATATGTGTTCCAAATATGGATCACCACCACAAGCCACACAATACCTCATTGGGTATTCCGAGGCAACAAAGGGTCCACGAAGGTCTAGCCCAGGGCCCGAGTGATTGTAAGGTGCTGCTAACTCTGTTCAAATCGGATCTCTCCTCCCCTTGTCCTCGCCAATCATGTGGTTTGCTGGGTTCTCTTGTCCAGATGTAATTGGCTACCAAGTGTACAGTACGGACTGTAGGATAGATCCTATTTACAGAGATTGATGGTATGGTTCCAAATCTGGAAGAATTCACTAGTTCGTTCAGACAGACCTAAAGCTATGACTGGCTGCCGCTCTACCGGTGACGGGCACTGGCCTCTTTCCTTCTTCAACCGGGCAGTCAACAAGGTCCATCGTGCCCGGCCATCAGTCATCAAAACAACCTAGAGGTACCTTACTCGCCAGCTACGATGCATTCTGGCGCCGTGCAGTTCAGCCTATATGTACAGTTCAGCTGTACTCACGCCACACCTACCCTTCACCTCGTGTGGACTTTTGTCCTCATCGTGAGTTTGCAAGTGTTTACCACACGATAGACTGCACAATGAGACTAGCAACTCTCTTCAATCTACCCCCTTTTCTGCTATCCGCCTAGTGCGACTGCGTCCTGCCTTCAACCCAGACTAGAGGCCTCACCGAGCGATGTCTGGTACAGCCCGATTTATCTCAATAGTCCCATACTCAGCAGCAGCCATGTGCAGCCTCAGTGGCACCCTTTGGCCCATTCGAGAGACCTTCTTTGCGACGCCACCTACATCTACACTACCTCGAAGTATCAGTCCCCGGTCAAATGGAAGCGATTCCGCCGAAGCACGGGATCGGCTTAACCCGATACATCCATGATCACTTACCCAAATTGGGATATTCCTGACCTGTCTCGGATGTTATTCTCGGGTGGCTTGCGCATCATGGCTGGCCCATTTTGTTGTCGTCTTGGTGCCTTTGTTGCCTGCCCGAGCAGAGATCCATCCAGTCTAGAATGGGTGACGAGGCGAGGCGATACGAGCTACCTACCTAGGTATGAACGCCATCACAGCTTCTGTCCGCAGCTGGATACCTACCTCTCGAGGTGATGAATGAGTTGTCGGCGGTAGCCCAGCCATACCTCAAAAATGGACCCCTAAGTCCCGAGAGGTCACTTACAAAAGATATAAAGAGAGCAAGGACAGACTGTGCCTTTTTTCGACATGGACTTTTCCCTTGCAGAAACCGTGCAAGACCTTGGCGAGAATCTCTCTCGAGCTCTCTTTGGTCTCCTACTTTTCTGGGACACAGTCAAGTCAATCGCACCAGACAAACAACAAAATGGCGTCTTTCAGCCTCATTCAGACTCTTCTTCATCTTCTTCTTCTTCTCTCGGCCGTACAACTAGGCAGTGTCTCTGCCGGAGTCGACAAGTGGCTCAGTCCCCAGTACAAGTGGACATTTCAATTCCCTTTACCTATTCCTCCTGTCAAGGCTCCGTCAAAGTAAGTCCTTTCTCTTTTTTTTTTTTTTTTTTCTTAAAGTTAGGTAAACATCAACAGTCTAACATTGACTCAGAACCATCGTAAACCCCATCACGGGAAAGAACATCCTCTACTACGAGGTTGAAATCAAAGAGTTCCAGTCCCAGGTTTATCCGGACCGTGGACCGGCGACGCTATGGGGGTACGATGGCATCTCACCGGGTCCAACGTTCATAGTAGAGAAGGGGACCGAGACGGTAGTGAGGTTTGTCAATAATGCAAGGTTGGCCAACTCTGTGCATCTTCATGGGTCTTACTCTGTAAGTCTGCCATCTTCACATCTTTACTTGGGAATGAGACAAAACACCCAGACTGACACAACACAGAGAGCCCCCTTCGACGGCTGGGCAGAAGACATCACTCCCCCCGGCTGGTACAAAGACTACTACTACCCCAACAGCCAATCCGGCCGAACCCTATGGTACCACGACCACGCCATTGACCACGTAAGTCTTTCTTCCTCCTTTCTCCCTCCTTTTTTTCTCCCTTCTCCTTCCTCCCTCCTCCACCTTCCCACCACCCCAAATCACCCTATGCCCCCCAACTAACATGACCCAAAAAGACAGCAGAAAACGCCTACTACGGACAAGCAGGCACCTACATCCTGCACGACCCCCTCGAAGACGCCCTCAATCTTCCCCGTGGGTACGGCACTTCGGACATCCCCCTAATCCTCTCCGCCAAACAATACACTTCCTCCGGCTCCCTCTTCTCTCCCGCCGACGAAACCACCTCCTTGTACGGGGACGTCATCCACGTAAACGGCCAACCCTGGCCTTTTTTGCGCGTCGAACCACGTAAATACCGGTTCCGCTTTCTCGACGCATCCATCTCCCGCTCTTTCTTGCTTTACTTCGAGCGTGACGCCAAAGTTGGGACAAAAGTCGGGTTTGACGTGATTGCTTCCGATGCTGGACTCCTCAATGCTCCGCAGAGGGTAAACGAGCTGTACATCTCCATGGCGGAGAGATATGATGTCGTTGTGGACTTTGCGGGATCCAAAGGGGAGAATATAACGCTTAAAAATGCGAGGGAGGTCGGTGCGGATAGGGATTATCCTGATACGGATAAGGTGATGAGGTTTATTGTTTCTGGGAATCAGGTGGATGACCAGTCAAACGTACCGGCTGTCTTGAGAAGTGTGCCCTTCCCGAAACCGAAAAGTCAAGTGGACCAGCACTTCAAGTTTGAACGGTCAAACGGCGAATGGAAAATCAACGGCGTATCGTTTGCGGATGTGGCGAATCGCGTGCTGGCGAGACCGAAGCGCGGAACTGTGGAGGTGTGGGAGCTGGAGAATAGTAGTGGTGGGTGGACGCATCCTATTCATATCCACCTGGTGGACTTTAGGGTCAAGAAAAGGGTGAATGGGAAACGCTCTGTGTTGCCGTATGAGGCACAGGGGTTGAAGGATGTGGTGTGGCTGGGGCCGGGCGAGACAGTCACGGTGGAAGCGCACTATGCCCCTTGGGATGGGGTGTACATGTTCCACTGCCATAATCTGATTCATGAGGATCATGAGATGATGGCTGCTTTTAATGTGTCTGTCCTCCAGGATTTGGGGTATGACGAGACGCATTATATCGATCCGATGGAGGAGCGGTGGCGGGCGAGGCAGCAGAGTGTCGAGGCATTTGATGACAGCGCCGTGGAAGCGAGGCTGAAGGAGATGGCAGGGTTCAGGCCGTATGATAAGGTTGAGGAGGTGGAGAGTGTGTTGGAGCAGTATTGGGAGACAAAGACGAAGACGGCGGCGACGATCCCGACGACAACGTTTGCTACTGTGGTCCCTACCAGTGCTGGGGTCTTCACTACTTCGTTCAAGACTACGACGACCAGTAGCAGTTCCTCGGCCAGGACTTCATCGACGAGTACGAAGAAGAAGGATTAGATTCCTCTTGAGGTGGTTCGGGAGGGCAGTCAGGGGGGGTGCTTTGATGAGAAACTGGTTCTGCAAAGTCAGGAGTTAATGGCAGGTATCGATGGACATAACAAGACAAGGAGATCAACAGATGGCATATACTTGATATCTCGGAATCGCATGATGAAGGAAAAGCTGGGTAATGTAAATGCCAAGACCTGTGAATAGCTTCAAGAGTCGAGATCGGAGCTAGCTCGAAAGTGGGGTACATTCATTACGAACAGTAATCCCACTTGGGAGTGCACAATTACACATGTAAAAAATAATGTCACTACAACCATCAGAGAAGTCCTATAAGGCACCGTTCCTTCTAAAATCACCTCCTATGCGAACACATATACTGAGAGGTTACCATAACCATGAAAAATTGTTCCCTTCCTGATCCGAATGAACTCATAACACAAGCCCCGTCTACCTATAACGCACCATCTCTGTCTAAGGCAAGTCCTTCAATATCATCGCTCTTCAAAATCATAGAATGCAACGCAGCGCACAATGGATACAGATATTACCGGCCTGCATCAGGCCTGGGCTCGGAAAATATCAACACAACGAACATGAAAAAAAAACAGTCCCAGCCCAGCCCGGCCAGCCACTGGTGACCAAACAACCCATCTAATCCCATACTGCTTTTCCCTCCCTTGGTTTTACTTTATTGTCCTTTTTGTTGGTTTTTTATACACCCCTTAATTCGTGTGACCATCGGGAATATGATCCTCAACCGTGCTCAACGCTCCAAGGTTGACCTCTCCCATGGACAGTGCGCCGCCAACACCACCAGCGCCAGCACCACCAACGCCAGCGAGAAGAGCCACGCACTCGATCACATCCTCAGGTTCCAGCAAATGCCACCTAGCCAGCGTAACCTTGGTGCTGGCGCCCACCGTGACAGTGAAGCAGTTCTCGGGCTTGATCTCGGCATCTTCGCCAGGACCAGACAGCACGTTCAGGCTGCGGAACATGTCCTCATCGGTAAAATCATCACCCATGCAGAGCACAAACTCGAGCTTCTCGGAAGCAACCTTGTCTGGCGACCCCGAAGACTTGGCAGCAAGAGCCTTGAGCTCGGCATTGTACTCCGTGACGAGGCGCTTCGCGATCTCGCCCTTATTGATGAACGTGGGACGCACCTCAAGGTTGGCCTTGCCCGCCATAACCTCGACGTCCCACTTGCGGCCGACGGTGGTCTCGAGCTCCTTTTGGCAGTCGCGAGCCATGTGGAGACCCTGCTCGGGATCGGCGAGGCGGTAGTGCCAGGTGAGAGCACAGCGCTTGCGTTCAATGAAGGAGCCTAGCAAATTCATGTTAGCCATTGTTTTAGTAAGCAAAGGAGAATCAAAGAACTAACCTGGAGTCTTGTCGGTGTACTTCTGGAAGACTTCCAGAACCTCGGCCTGCCAGCCCATATCAAACTTCTCGGCCAGGTTCTCCCACTCCGTCGAGCCCGGGTGCCGCATGAAACTACCATGCTCTGCGCTGAAGCCCAACTCGGTAATGTGGCCAAGGTGCTGCTGAAGGAACTCCTGGTCGCGGCCGGAAATGATCCAGACGGCGTTGCGGGGATCGGCCGCCAGAGCCTTGAGGCTGTTGATAACGCGCTCCGACGGGATGGCGGCACTAGGTTCCCTGACAATGGGTGTGAGAGTGCCGTCGTAGTCGAACATGAACAAACGCTTGTTGGCCGCCCGGTACTTGCGGAGCATGGTGGCGCGATCGAGCAGGGGAGTGGCGATGATGTCTTTTCTGTTAGCGAGGACACTAATCAGGCGACGTAGGAGACCGGTGATCCAGAACTGGACGTTCTTGTTGGTGACGTGCTCGAGCAAGCTCTTCTCGATACTCTGGCGGCGCTCTTGCGACATGGTGAGAGCATTGTTAATCTGCTTGGCGACATCGGTAAGATCCCAGGGGTTGATGTGGATGGCATCCTTCAGCGAGCCAGCGGTACCGCTGAACTCGGAGAGAATGAGCGGGCCAGCATTGTCACGCTGGCAGATAATGTACTCCATCGAGGTCGTGTTCATGCCGTCTCTGACTGAGGTGATGAGGCCAATGTCGGCAGCACGGAGCAGAGCAAAGTACTCATCTTGCGAAATGTACTGGGGGTAATGCTGCACAGGAGTGTCGCCAAGCGAGCCGTACATGCCATTGATCTTCATGACAAGCTCGTTGACACGGCTGGAGATCTTGTTCTCGGAATCCTCCTTTTCCTCCTCAATGTTAGTGGGCGAGGTAACCTGGATGAGAACGACCTTTTCCCTCCACTCGGGGTAGAGCTCGAGGAAGCGCTCAAAAGCCATGAGCTTCTGGGGAACGCCACGGACGCTGTCCAACTTATCGCGGCCGACAATGAGCTTCTTGCCAGCGTACATCTTCTTCAGCCCCTCGTACTTTGCAGTGGCGGACGGCTTCCACGCAGCGGCAGCGACCTTGATAGCGTCGATGCCAATGGGGAAGACGCCGACCTCAACACGTGTGCCGTAGGCCTCGACGCCGGTAGTATCGGAGGGGAAGCCAAGGACGCGGGTACAGCAGCTAGCAAAATGGCGCGAGTAGCTGTAGCTCTGGAAGCCAACCAGGTTGGAGCCCAAGACACCCTCCAGGACTTCCTTTCTCCTGGGGAGGCAGCGCAAGAACTCGGAACTGGGGAAGGGCGAATGCAGGAAAAAGGCAATGTACATGTGGGGAGCCCGCTGGCGCAACATGCTAGGCAGAAGCATCAGGTTGTAGTCATGCACAATGACAATGTCGCCGGGCTTGTAGTTTTCGAGAATCTTGTTGGCGAACTTTTGGTTCATGCGGTAGTAGTCAGCCCACTGGATTCTTTCGGCGCGGCCATCGGCGGGCTCGTTCTGCTTGTAGTGGAAAAGGGTGTAGAGGGAGTGCTCGGCGTAGCGTCTCCAGCGGGCCTGGTCCTTCAGCCTGATGCCATCGTCGTGGCCCTCGATGTCGTCGGCGAGCCAGACAGGGACGGTCTTGATCTTTCGGTTGTGCGACAGGTCGTGCTCCAGCAAGTGCATGTCTTCCTTGGGAATCCAGAGACCATCTGCCGTGGGATGGGCCGGAGGAGTGACGCTGCCATCGATGGGCACAGGGCGGGAAAGGGGGTTGAGCGAGGGTTGGCCGACCGTGGTAGCAGGCGCCTTGCCGGCGTGCTGGGCGGACTTGACCTCCTCAATCTCGCCAGTCCAGGCGACAACCGTGTGATTCCATGGGGCGTCATCAGACGAGAGGTACGAAAACGAATCGAAAAGCGCCGACTGTCCCCGGCGGGGTTTTAGATCCTGTTGGAGTTGCGCATCATGACATCAGCCCCACTGTTTTCCCACTGTTTTTCTCACTGTCTTGCCAAAGCTTGGATATGATCAGAAGGGAACTTACCCAGGAACCCGTGGTGCCCTTTTCGCCGCTGGCCTTGGTATACTTGAGCAGGTGGGGGATTGTGAAGGTGGCTGAGATGATGTTTCCGCTAAGCGACAGGTTGGGGAACCTGTGGCGGATGTCGGAGAGGGAGTCCTGGCTCCCAATGGCCGCCGCGCCGGAGTCCGTGACGGCCGTGCTCAGACGGCGCATGAAGTCCTTGCCGGCATCGGCACCCACCGCGAGCTGCCTGTCCACGCTTCCTGTCTCTTCCAGGCCGACGGTGCCTGGAGACCGGGCAATGTCGTGCTCGTCAGTTCGCCTCTCAAAGTAGCCAGGACCCGTGGTGAGCTGTTCTTCGTAGGCCTCGCGGCTGATGCCCGGAGTGACGGGCACATTGATGACCGAGGGGCGCAAATGGCCCGGGAGCGAGGATTCGGTGCGCGAGGCTTCTGGTCTGGGTATCACGATCCGGTGCTGCTGCTGCTGCTGTTGTCCTTGTGTCATCTTGGCGGTTGTGTGGTAGGTGAGGACGGACTGATGTGCCGTCGCTCTGTCTCGTGCGATAAGGGTGAGTGGGTGGGTATTATGTAGAGCGGGACGGATGTAAACAGATCGCAGACGAAATGAAGACTGAAGCAGGTCTAGTCTACCGTACTAAGGGGAGGGGGAGAAGGAGACGAGGCGACCTGTGGTTGTGTTTCTTGAGTAAGGAAGGAAAGAGGGAAGAATGGAGGGGAAGTTGAGAGGAGGAGAAAAAGGAGGAGGAGGAGGATGAGGAAGAGGAAGAGGAAGAAGGAAGAAGGGGGATTGGGAACCTGAAAGAGAAGTTGGGCAAGGAAGGTAGTAGGTAGGTAGTGGTAGTCAATGGAAGGAAGGAAGGAAGGAGCGAGCCTTGGAGTTGGAGTCGCAGTCGCAGTACTAGGTTGGGCGGGCGGGCGGTGACTGTGTGGCTGTCAACGACTGGAATGGACCTGTCAATGCGTCACCCAGCGAAACACTTCTCTTCCTGCTTTCACTCCGTCCTTCCAGTCTCGCTGGCCTTCGGATCCGATGTCGATGCACGCCGTCGTCGACCAGCAGGGATCCTGTCGGCTGGGAGCAAGGGGTGCGACAAGGAAGCTGGTACTGGTGGTGGAGTGGACAGGAACAGCGGGTAGCCAGGGGAAGAGCCCACTGCAGTTCAGTTTAAACCAAGTGGTCTGTGCTTCCAGTTTGGGGGGGGGGGGGGGGGGGGGAACTTTTTCTTTCTTTCTCCTTCGTTCCTCTCATGCAGTGCGAGGCAACTTGGGAGGATGCAGCCTGGACGGCAACAAGCAGAGAGTGACAGCAGCAGACAGGAAGCAGGAGGGATTAGTGCTTTGAACTGGATGAATGCAGTGAGCCAAGTTGACAACAGAGACCTGACTGAGGGACAGGAATGTAACTGAATGCTTCAGTTTTCTTTGATCGAGTCGAAGCTTCTGTTGGTGGGGCACCAATCTGAAATGTCCCGGCCAGCTTTGGTTCTTATAGCAGCACTTGCTCCTGCCTCCTCTCTGTCTTTATTGTATACCTCTAGTAGTACACAGATGAGGCTCGAAGCAATCAGATATGCAGCATGAGCATGGAACAAAGATGCCCAACCAACACTTTCCCTACTGCCCATGCCACCCATCAATCTAATATTGATCTCTTTCCAGAAATGCCCCTCATTCACCCTCCTTTACAAACTTTCAGTCGGACCTTTCAGCTAGACGCCGTTCTGGACCCAAGCTTTGGGTTGTATGTAGTCATGTCATGCTCTCACGGTGCCCTCTCCTCGGTGCGACTGCGAGTCTGTAGTACTGTATTGTTGGTACGTAGTCTGTGACTGTGACGTTCAGCTCTACAAACAAAGGAGCCCCATTCTCGGTGTCACGGTGCGGCAGAGGGCACCATCAAGATGTTGTCATTGTCGCCAGGTCTGGACAGAATATTTCTTCTGGGAGACTGTCCTAAGAAAGATTAAATTGTCTACATTGCTATAGGCTTCCGCATATGGGCCCGAAGATCCGCATCCAGGCATGTCCATTGGATGAACGGCCGAATGACCGGCCATAGGGGGGGATCAGAGGGGGGGGGGGGGGGGGGGAAACTGGGGGAA